TGACGACTTGAAGCAGGACTACAAGCTCTACAGGAGGAACAACATCTTCATTCTGCCACTGTTCTACACACTCATTGGCGCTTCCTTTGAACATGAGGATGTCGAGTCCCCGGATTTCGTCAGTGCTCAGAACGCTATGCTTGATCATATATGGATGGTGAACGATATCTTCTCGTTTCGCAAGGAGTTCTACCAGAAGAAGTTGAACAACCTGCCGGCTGTGCTGCTGCTCACCGATCCGAGCGTGAAGACGTTTCAGGAAGCAGTGAACGCTACATGCAGGATGATCCAGGAGAAGGAAGAAGAATTCATCTATTACCACGACATCCTTGCCGCGAACGCGTCCCGGGATGGGAAGGAGTTCTTGAAGTTCCTGGATGTTCTCTCCTGCGCAATCCCGGCGAATCTGGCGTTCCACTATGCGAGCAGCCGCTACCACGGCATGGATAACCCCCTTCTAGCCGGGGGCACGTTTCATGGGACCTGGATTCTGGACCCAAAGCGCACCATCATCGTTTCGGACCCGAACAGAAGCAACGCGGCGGCATCAAACAAACTCAACCATATCCAAGATTTATCAAAGTTGATATGAAAAATATGTGTACTTTCAGATACCTTAAAATCCTTAGTATGCGTTGACGAGCGTGGGTTTGTACACTATGAAGAGTCACAGAAAGAGAAAAAGGTGGTGCGAATAATATAGCAAATAATATGCATTATTGCCACATTTCTGGGACGCCTTAGCCCCACTATTTCTAAACGAGCGGCATCTTGACGAAGAGCTTCTTGTCTTCAAGTTGGGAGCTTTTCGAGGCCCCTGTGCTAGCTAGGCCACGAGCTTGATGGATATATCCAGCTCATGACCATCGTTGTCCAAGTGATGGCACGACAAAAGAGGTCTCTCGCATCTTTGAGATCCGTGCTTCATGTACGCGCTGATCATAGCGTTTCATTGGGATCCTGGAGCCCGTCAAACATCTGCTTGGGAAGTTTAAGATCGCCATCCCTTCCTGCTACTGTTCGTTACTGTTATCTTGCGCTAGCCTCGATGCTGCTTCCAGCATCGGCATCACTTCTTCAAATCCGGATTTACAAGCACCAGGTCCTCTTCAGCAACGGGTTGACTGCACATAGGACATGTCTTCTCTACTTCCAGCATCTGTAGTTAAAGAAGTTACTACACCTGTGTTTGAATCATAATGTTTGGATATGACCTTTAAGAACTCAGACATGAGAGCGGGGAACTTGCAGCTGGGGCATGTTGTCCAATCTTCCAACACCATATGCCGACCAGAAACTATACAAAACTGCACAGACAGAGGGATTGAGGCAAAAATTCCAAAACGCCAGCACTCACAGGGATGTTGCTTCCACAAGCCGGACAGTCAAGTTGCGTTTCTGGTATAGGTAGCGAACACACGGGGCATGGAGACAGAGGCTCCTCGTCTTCAACCTTTTCCGGCTTGCGTACTATTTTTTCGATCTTTCGTTTGTACGCAGGAGCAATCATCTGCCTGAATCGAAAGTCAATCACGTGATTCCCAAAACAAAAGCAAATAATACCTGTACTCCGGATTCATTAGCATGGAAGCATAATCGAAAGCGGATTTTTTCAGGCCTGAACGTTGACACTCGATAACGGCCGATGTGAGAATCTGAACTACGTGAGCAGGAAACATCGAAATGTTTTTCACTATGCGGATGAGCATGCGAGCACTTAATCTGAAGAGCAAACAATGTATCACGAAACAAATGAATTAAGGAAAAAGTTAAGCAGGGCCAAACCTGTGATTTTCAAGACGGATTAACGTTTTTACAAGAATGTAGGAATGAAGAAGCATGAGTTGTCTAAGGAGTTCACTAGGCACTTGCTTTCCGTGATCTTGAAGTGTTCTACAGTAATCCAGTAGAAGTTGATGCCCGCTCCTATAATTGCCTGCTTCCTTTTTTACGATAACAATGATCAGAGACATGACTATTCACAGCTCACTTCTACTCACCCTCTCTTGGTCAGCAATCAATCTGGCAGCTTTTGTGGCCTGCTCGTAATGCCCAAGGACCGTGTGCAAGCGCTGCAAATGTTTCTGTGTTTTTTCCGCTCTTGTGGCATCCGTCAGGAAATCAAACAATTGCGAGATAAGTTCCTCGGATTTAAGACGCCCAACCATTGCTATGGCCTGAAGCAAAGAGCTTTAACCTTGATACATTAAAATAATCCTCATTACCTGATCAATTCCTTCAGGCGAACCCCATTGAAGGTACAAGTTAAGAGCTTTCTTTGTTTCATTGCAACGTTCGAACAGTAAGCCAGCTTGTGTGTAGTTTCCCGTGGATTCGTAGTACCTGACCATCGGATAAAGGAAGTTCACAGATCAGAAATAACATGGAAATTGAAGCTTAACTTGGCAAGTGTCAAACGTTCTTCAGTTGACGCTATATCGACCACGAGTCCGGTGTATACATCCATTTTACCATGAAGTTGAGCCAGCTCCCGAGCTTCGTCCCTTCTACTGTCCGGATTAAGCTGATACTGCAGAAAGATGCCCCCAAAGAATAATATATTACCTTTTTGCCATGATAAAAAATTCAATAGCTCGATCGTAATCTCCATTTCCCTTGCAGAACTTCGCAGCTAGAAATGCTCCGGAAATGGACTTAGTCTGTGTAAATCTTATAGTCGGAGAACTCAAGTTCGATGAAAGATTACCTCATACACCACAGAATAAGCTCTCGAGGGGTTATTTAGTGGTCCTAATTCCAGCCGAACTACGTTTTCAAAATCCTGCGAGTAAGAGCAAGCGTTAAACATGCACTGTAATTCGAATATGCTCACCTCTCCCGCTTCATATGCAGCTGATGCATCAGAATATTTTCGTTCCCCCTCCATAGCTCTCCCATACTAGCCATACCAATGTAAGTAGTGAACTTCTTGTGTTGCTTCAGCTTACTTCGTTGTAAAACATTAAGCTATCTAGCTCCCTCAAAAGCAAGCAAGCCTTTGAGTAGTTTCTGGCTGCAATGTATAGCCTTGTGGCCTTCTGAGGTTGTTTACCCATCTCATATAGTTCTGCAGCATCCTAGCGACATCAGATAGTGAAACTGACCGGGAGATAATAGCAGAAGAAATACCTGTAATAAGTTCAAGCCTTCGAGAATCTTTGCGCATTCGCCAAAAAGGCGCGTATCATTGCACTCTATTGCCAACTGCTTTCCCTTCCAAATGTCACCAACGTGAATAAGTGCCCGTGCTAGGCCGGCCTGAACAAGACAGGTTGACGGACGAGATAAAATATCATCAAAGACTACACCTTTGCTTGAGAGTAACGAGGTGTGTCGGGAAGGCACACTTTCAGAGTATCTTGATAATGCATTACTGATTGACGATATTCGCCTTTCCGTTCAAGCCACTTAGCATAGTGCCACTTTATATCATGGATTGAAGGCGAATCCAGTTGAACAGCTAGTGGCAACGCCTAAAAGAAAAGGACGATGAGATCAAAGATCAGGCTTCCTTACCCGATCCCATTGTTGTAGGCTCATTCGTAGATCCACTGCAGATTGCGGATGTATAGATTTCAAAAAATAATCCTGTCAAAGTTTAATTGGATTTGCGCGCTCACTAGAATTCGCTGGACACACTCTGTACCTGTGCTGTATCATGCTCTCCAAATATTGTCATTACATGACCAGCGAATAAATATTTATCTTCAATGTGTTCCAAAGGACGTAAAAGCATTTGCATCTTCACGTCCTTTGCTTGCTGGCAAGCTTTTAAAGCTAAATCCAGATCCATCTGCTCCAGCGCCTGTTTCGCTAAAGCGTCCCACACCTGACATACACCGTCATGGAGCATTCAGCAACAGAGCAGTACCTCTTTCTCATTTAAAACAATCGCATCATTCCACGCCTCCTTGAAATGGAACAGAGCAATGTTTTGATCAAATCTCATCCTTCTCTCAGCTTGGCTTTCAACTCGCCCCTGCAGACATTTTTAAAACAGGAAGTCATTAGTTGGTAGGCGTCTTCACCTTGATCCACTTGTGTGTTTCAAGAATTACTTCTTCTACAGGAGCACTCCCCTGCTACACAACTCAGGAATAAGAAACCTCGATGAACAAACATGCAGTTACCTGGCTCGTCAAAACTCCGTTCTGGAGTGCCAAAGGAACAAATCCAACAGGCCTTGTCGTTGACAAGCCTACGAACATAAGCTTCGGTGAGACACTCGCACTGGAATAGATAAAAACCATGTCTTCATGGCCTTTAGAAATCACCACTACATTCGAATCATCGGAATCCCACAGCACGTTGTCCGGATTGTCAGTCTCGCTTATCAAGGATGTCTGCAAGTTTTACTCATCCCGTCAAAGCCACCAGAAAACGATAAGAACCTCTTGCGAAACAGGATTGTAGACAAAGAGATGCTCCATTTCGTCCTCAAGTATCACTCGTGTCCCAATGACATTAACCCACAGCCTACACGCAGGAAAAAGAATCAGAGAAAATAGAGAGATGGACAAAAAAAGATCTAAAGACCATTTTCAGCAGCAAGACAAGAATCCCAACCTTTTGATGCCTTGCGAGTGATGAAACGTCGTTGAAAGCAGCGGGGCATCTTCTTCAAGAAGATAATGCACGATATCCCCATTCTTTGTCCCATAGATCAAGAAATCAAGCGCGATCTCCACGCAGCTGGCATCGCTGGCGCCCCCGCCGCTCGGAAACGTCCAATGGAGCTTGCGATCCTTGCCCTGTTGGAGGCGCACGACCGTAATCTTGCCCCGGCGCAAGCAAGCGCTATATTTCTCGTTCCTCACCTGCGCGATCGATCAATACCTAGGGCAGGAAGAGCAAGAAACACACCTCCATTCTCGTCACACGCCACCGCCGCGAGCCACCAGCGCCACAATCGATCGCTCCATCGCTGGGCGAGCTAGAGCTAGGGCAAAACTGGCGTCTCAAAACGTTAAAATAATTCAACTCAGGGCATATTCGCAAGAACACATTTTAGGGACAGCGAAAGGGTCTGATCCAAGTTTTCTCTCTATCTTCGCTCGGCTTCCACGTCCTTGTCAAGAGCCCTAGCTCGCCACCGGCAGGAATTCGTCGATCCCGCGAGGCGCTGGGAAATGGAGCACTGGTAGGCGGTCGACCTAATTCTCGGGAAGGTGTGGCGCACGCCGAGAATGTATGTCAGCTGCGAGATTTTGAGCCGGATTGGATGCGCAAGGCCTTCTCCCAGCTCAGGGATCAGTGATTTGTAGCGCAGGGTCGCGGATTTTCGATGGCACAGGCTACTGCTGCGCAGGATCCAGCAATGGCCGTCACGACGGATAATCACAAGGGACTGGTGTTGGCTCTCTCATCCAGCCTCTTCATTGGAGCGAGTTTTATCATCAAGAAGAAAGGGCTTAAGAGAGCTGGTGCATCTGGAGTTCGTGCTGGTAGGCATGGTTTTAAATTCTTTTTTTTTTTTTTTTTTTTGTTGCAATGTCGTGCTCTAGTCACAGCTTTTTCGTGTTTTTGTAGGTGTTGGGGGCTACTCCTATCTGTATGAACCGCTTTGGTGGGCAGGCATGATCACAAGTAAGCTAGTTTGTCCAGGATGAAAATGCGAAATAACAAAGTTTGCTCACTTCTTTGAGCAGTGATATTTGGCGAGGTTGCAAACTTTGCAGCGTATGCGTTTGCTCCTGCGATACTTGTCACGCCTTTAGGAGCTTTGAGTATTATAGTAAGGTGAGTGGAGGATAAAGCGTGAAGATGGATTTCTTACAGTTTGAGGCTGTTTTTTTACAGTGCAGCATTGGCGCATGTCATTCTTAAGGAGAAGCTACATGTTCTGGGAATGCTCGGCTGTGCTCTTTGTGTCGTGGGTTCTACGACTATTGTCTTGCATGCTCCTGGGGAACGTGATATTGAATCGGTGAAGCAAGTTTGGGATCTAGCGAGCGAGCCTGGTAAATCTTTCCCTCCTTTCTAGGCCTTTGATTCATTAGTTTTTTGTTTCTTTCTCCAGCGTTTTTGCTGTATGCGACCTCTGTCGTAGCCGTGGTGTTGATTCTTATTTTCCTCTACGTACCTCAGTATGGGCACACGCAGATACTGGTCTACATTGGTATCTGTTCGTTTATGGGATCACTGTCGGTAAGCGCTTTGGATGACAACAAGTTTGCTTTGGTCCTCATGGATTGATTCTATCAGGTGATGAGTGCCAAGGCTCTCGGGATTGCCCTCAAACTGACATTCGAAGGTATCAATCAATTAATGTATCCACAGACATGGGTGTTCGCAATGGTGCTTGCGACCTGTGTCATAACACAGATGAATTATCTGAACAGGGTAACTCGGTCATTTTCATTTCTTTCCTTGTTTCTTTGCCGTTGCTCATACAAGGTTTTCCTTGCAGGCGTTAGATACTTTTAATACTGCAGTTGTATCTCCCATTTACTATGTCATGTTTACCTCCTTGACAATCGTAGCTAGCGTCATCATGTTCAAGGTTCGTTCTTTCTGTTTACTACTTCGCCAAGGAACCACCATTTTTTATACTTATTTGGTTTGTCCAGGACTGGGACAGACAAACTCCTGCGCAAGTCGTCACTGAGCTTTGCGGCTTCGTCACCATTCTCGCTGGAACATACTTGCTCCACGTCACAAAGGATCACTGCGAACCAGTTCCAGCGCTACCTTCGTTCAAGGGAGGTATGACGACTGGATCTCTGGTTTTTTTTCCTTATCCAGGTTTGTCTTGCAGCCATTTACAATGGATTTCCCTCTGTCAAACGACCAGATGACGAAGAAATGTCAGAGCAAATCCCTCTCCGCCGGCAAGACTCCCACTCCTACAGATCCCCGTGATCCTGAATCGTTCTCATCTCCAAGTCTACAATATGTAAAAAGCTCGCAGTCTCGCAAAGCGATCATCTTTCCAGGCTTAAATTCTTCTTCGTCACATCGGAATAAAGAGGTCCCTGTCGTGCTGGTGGTGGGTGGTGATGGTGCTTGAAATTTATGTGAAGCGAAAGCTTTAATCCTGGAAAGATGGAAGCTGTAGAGGCCACTCAATTTTGAAACATCCAGACAAGAAAAGCTGTGCTTTGGCAGCCTTACAAAACTCAGCTCGTAAGAAAAAGTGGAATATCTAAAAGCTGTTTAGTTTAGTGATACTACACAAAACATAAAAGAAAACATTGTTAACTTATTTAACTTTTTTGCGGAGAGGCTACATTAGCAAGCAATACATAAGCAGCCGCGTTTCTAGGCTCGAGTGCCACAACACGAGAAGCAGCATTAGCTCCATACTTGAAGTCCTTGTAACTTCTACAAGCACCAAGAAGGCATGTCCACTCGAATACGTCTGGAACATAAGGCATGCTCTGGATCAAATCCTCCGCATCTCTGAGGTAACCAGCTCTCGCCAAGAGATCAACCATGCAAACCAAGTGCTGCCTCGTCGGCTCTTGCCCATGGTCAAAACTCATCGAAACAAAGCAGCTCCTGGCAGAGAAAACAGTCCCTGCATGAGTACAAGCAACCAAAACAGCGGCCAAGCATCTCTCGTCTGGCAGATCCACAAGGTTCCCAACGAAGAAGAGACTAAATGCCTCGTCCCAGTGCCTGTTCTCAGCGTAAGCGGCGACGAGTGAGCTCCACGAGCCCGAATCCCACTCGGGCAAACGATCATAGAGTGCTCTAGCTCGGTGGAGATGGCCATTGTGAGAGTAAGCAAAGATCATCGTGTTCCAGCATAGAAGATCCCGCTCAGGGATGCTACCAAATATTTCCCAACAATGACAGAGATGCCCGTGTTGAGCATAGGCAGCAAGCATCGAAGTCCAGGACACTAAATCTCTCTCGGGCATCTGGCTATAAGTGCACTCCGCCTCGCGGATATGCCCGTGTTGGGCATAAGCGGCAAGCATAGCGTTCCACGAAACGAGGTTGGGCTGCGGCATTCTCTCAAACAAGGATTTGGCTTCCTCCAGCCGCCACCTTTGTAGCAGGGCTGATATCATAGCATTCCAAGCTACAAGATCTTTTTGAGGCATCTCATTGAAGATATTTTTTACATCTTCCAGATCCCCTTGCTGGGCAGTCACCGACAGCACCAGATTCCACGACAGAAGGTTCCTGACTGGCATAGAGTCAAAGATTTTCTTGGTTGTCTCCGCTTGCCCGGCTCTAGTGTGAGCATTCAGCATAGCGTTCCACGTCACCACGTCCCGAAAAGGCATCGTGGCAAAGATACCCAAAGCGTATCCAAGATGCCCATTCTGGGCATATGCCGACAGTAGCGAGTTCCAGGAAACCACGTCCCACTGCGGCATGGAGTGAAATATCTTCTCACATTCCTCCAGCTGCCCGTTTCCTGAGAAAGCTACAAGCATAGACGTCCACGTCACCAGGTTGCGCTGTGGCATCTCGCAGAAAACCCGCTTTGCCTCCTCCAGATGCCCGTGCTGGGCGTACACGGAAATCAGGGCCGTCCACGCCACGAGATTCCGTTCCGGAATTTCGTGAAAGATCTGGACCGCTCTAGCCAAAGACCCATGTTGTGCATACCCCGCCAACAAAGAGCTCCACGAAATCACGTCCCTTTGGGGCATGCTCTCAAAAGTTGACGCCGCATATTGGAGATACCCGCTTTGGGCATATGCCGACAAGAGAGAGTTCCATGATACCACATCCGGCTTAGGGATTTGGAGGAACATCTTCTTTGTGGTTTCCACATCACCTTCGTCACTGTAGGCCGCCAGCATGGTGTTCCATGACACGGAATCCCTCCCGGGCATCTTGTCAAAAAGCTCTTTTCCTTCTTTAAGGCAGTCATTTCTGAAATACACTGACAGCATTAGATTCCATGAGAACATGTCCTTGACAGTAATGCTGTCGAATATCCGGCGTGCTTGCTCTGGTGATTTACATTTCCCATACATCTCGATCAGTTTGTTTGAAACAAAAGTATCTCTGTCTGGCTGAGAAGAATCTGGATGCTTGGATTGGGTTATAGAAAGATGGTGGCGCAGGCACCCTTGAGACATTCAGTTCATTTCCCTCAGTCTGATCACTATCTTTTAAGAATTATTATTGCTGTAATTTAGGGTTCTTTCCTTTTTGGTGCTGGCTCCTTTTCGAAATATTACAAAATAAACTAGAGATAATGATCCATTCTAAAAAAATAAATTAAGTTTAAGTTTCCTTCTTCCAGCGAAACGGTGCCTCGTGAGCGTCGAAGGGTACCAAAACAAGCATATCATATCTTCTACTGCACACACGACTTCGCTTTTGCAGATTTTACGAGTGGAAGAAAGATGGAAGCAAGAAGCAACCATATTATATCTACTTCCAGGACGAGCGCCCTCTTGTATTCGCCTGCCTCTACGACTCTTGGCAAGATGCCGAAGGTAATGAAATTTCCATCAAACTCGTGGGTGTGCTTATGTGCTCTATCAGGAGACACGCTCTTCACTTTCACCATTTTGACCGAGCGATTGGAATGATTCTAATAGAAGAATATTTTTTTCTGTTTGAAGACGATATAAATTGCCCAAAGAAAATAGAATTACTTCACATATAGGTGATTATGATATGATCATCTAAAATTCTTCTAATTGCATTGATGATATAGTTCTATTTTTTTTACTAATTTATTCGTAATTATTTTTATTAAGATTAAATTTTGCTAATTTTATTGTAGCTTTTCCATTTATAATTGAAAAATTGTTGAATCAGACAAAATTGAAGGATCTTATAAACCAAGATCATTAAAAGTTAAAGTCATAAGATTAACCATATCATCAAGAAAACTCAATAATAAAGCTTAATTGTAGATAGCATATGCTCAGAAGTTTGAAGGTAATTACATTATATATAGACAAAATGGAAATTCCAGATATTATATTTTCTAAGTATTTTTATGCCATATTGCCACGCAGTGGAGCTCGATCGAGCAGTGCCTTACATTCTCCTGGAGCTCCATAACCTTCTCGATCGGTAGGACCGTGGTGATCTCACCGCACTCCAGAGCCTCGTAGAATTCCCGGGCGCTTGTAGCTGATGTGGTACATTTTCCAGCAAGAAGACACTGATACAGAAACATTGGCGCGATCGAATTGAGCGAGATCTCCCTCACGATTCTTGGCGCCAGGCTCTTCGGTAGGGCTTGCCGCTGGACATCGTGGACGATGAATGGTAGCGCGATATGCACCCTAACGATCGTCCGCTCAATGTGTTCTTGGATCAGATCAAGAGCAGCAGCTCGGCCTCAACACGATTCAGTGATCTTCGGCGGGAAAATGGAGTTTTTAGGGTTATGGAGAACTGTGTTCTTGGAGGACACGAGCATAAGCGCCACCTTGATTTTTTGTCAGTTTTTCAGCAACTCGAGATTGACTATGTGATTGGCGAAAGCGAGTGGGTGCCAGGAAAACCTGGCCCTGCTGCAATTTTGAGGATGTTTGGTGTGACGCAGTAAGGTCAGTCTTTGTTTTTTCAATCTTTTACAGGGTGTTTTGATTGACCACCTCTAGGTTTGACCCTTGCTTTACAGACAAGAAAGCACGAACAGGAATAGCAAGACTCCCACTTTGTTACAAACATAGAGATCGTCCACAAGCGAAGCTTGATGTACTTCCAATCACAGAAAGCAAGGGCGTTCCTCAAGATTGTTGTTGCATTTCCAACAATGATTGCTTCCAGTAGAGTACTGAAACTAAGTACGCTTTTCCAAGCAGGAATTCTTGAATAAGGCATCACTTTGGAAGGCTTTGGTCATGACTACACGCCGACTTTCAACCGGCCAAATCGAGATTGATTGTCATTTTCATTGTAAAATATTGTGAAATGTTCAACACACTTTTCTTTGGGCTTTCTGATCCAGATACAACAAGATTGTCAGTCATAGTGCTACTGGCCAGTACTCCAAGCTTGCATCGTTTCATATCCGTTATTCAGGTGTGTATCTTTTACTTGCTCATCGATTCAATAAGTGAGGCCATTATGTAGATTTCAGATCTTGTGACAGTAGTCGTCCTATGGTTCCAAATGTGATGACGCTCAAATCTTGCCCTGCAATCAGAACATGTTTCACTACTCAACATTGCCATGTTTTCCACCTATAAAATAGAGGATATTGACAGTTGCACGATGCATGTGGCAAATTTCATCACACACCCAATACTAAACATCATCTATGTCATCATCCTTGTTCTTGAATGCAACATCCACATCTTTGTTTGGACAAGCAAGCACTATTTAACTAAATCATAGCAAGGGATTGGTCTCAAAATAATCAGTTTTGAAATCAAGGTGTAGGGAGAGACTAACTAGAGATGATAGTAATAATCTTTTATGTTTTTAATACATCTTTTGAGGTGTGCTAGATCGTGTTACAGATACACCATAACTGAATTATACTAATTTAACAATGTTGATGGTATTGCTTGTACAATCTTGTGCTTCCTCACCTTATACCTGTAAAGCTTGGCACTTTTGAATTCAGCATTTGGGATGACGTTGACAATGGTAAGTCAGACCATTGAGTACTCCCGATCGATCATTCCACCTCTCACTTTGATTTTTTATAAACCCACGTGCTATATATGTCTAACGTCGCGCACGTGTGGTTTTTTTTTTCTCCTTTTTGCGGCGAAATTTTAAAACCTCGGCTCATCCTAAGATTAAAGACCTAAAGTGTGAATAGTATCCCAAAATAACAAAAAAGAAAATATAAAACACGTGGTCATTTCCACCAATGAGAGTTTATTCGCTGGCATCATATCACTATCAATTCGCTTGCTCCTTCGCGCTCGCCCCTCTTCCTTTCTCTCTTTCTCTTCTCTCGTTCACATCTCTCTTATAAAGACCTGGTATTCGTCTTTAAGAAGCTCCCAGAGATAAAGAGAAAGAGAGAGTGATGGCTTCAAAGCCCATCCAAGCTCTAATTGAGCAGCTGCAAATTCACCAATCTCTTCCACAAGAGTACGTGCAGCCTCAAAAGATCCAGATCCAAGCTGCCACCGGGGGCGCTCAAATTCCAGTGCTCGACTTGAGTGAATTCACGAGTAGCGCTGCTGCTGGTGGAAAGGAAGAATTCCTGCGAGAGCTGGATCAAGCTTGCCGGGAGTGGGGTGCTTTCCAGGTGAGCTCTCGATTTCCGTGCCTGGGAGTGAAAGTGATAAGAGCTAAAGTTTGTGTGTTTGGATTCTACTCCCTGGAAGGTGATCAACCATGGTGTTCCAAAGGATATCCTTCAAGGAATGCGAAACGCTGCAAAGCACTTCTACGACGTACCCGTGGAGGATAAGATGAAGTACTTTGTCACTGTGTTTGACGGCCGGCCCATGCGCTACTCCACTAGCTTTGATTCTTCTCGCGACGTCATCCTTGAGTGGAAGGACGTTCTCCGCATCCCCGCTGAAGCGTCAGCTCTGGAAGCTGATAGTGTCTGGCCAGCCAAAGAACACCTCCCAAGGTTAGACTCTTCCATTCCAATCCAAGAGCTTGGTCTTTCTGCCCTTGATAAGAAAAAAGACTCTTCTGTAGAGATGCTGTGAATTCGTATGGAGGGCGAATCAATGACTTCGTGTCCGTGTTACTGGAAGCTATGACCGAAAGCTTGGAGCTTCCGGCGGGATACCTGAACGAAGAGTTGGCGGGACGCGAGAGGATTCTAGCCATAAATTTTTACCCGCCGTGTCCGGATCCCAATCGGGCAATCGGGCTTGGAGCTCACTCCGACGCTACTGCTCTCACAGTCATCGTCCAGAACCAAGTCGATGGTCTCCAGTTGTTTCACAAGGACCATCAGTGGGTCACGGTGAAAATGCTTCCAGAGGCCCTTCTCGTGAACCTGGGTGATCAGCTCCAGGTATGTTGCAAAGATCTTGCTGCCCAAGAGTAGCAACTGTAGAGAGAACCTATCCAATCATTGGTTTTGTTTGTGTAGATCATAAGCAATGGAAGATACCATAGCGTGGAGCACCGGGCAGTGGTAAACAAGGAGAAGCTCCGGATTTCAGTCGCGACGCTCATTGGCCCAGCCAAATCATCGTCGATTGCTCCTGCTCCCCAGCTCGTCGACAAAACCCATCCAGCTCTCTACAAACCCGTGGTCTTCAAAGACTATTTGTTCAATTACATCAAACTCGGCCTCAATACGCGTGGAGCTCTTCAAACCATCGCCACTGCAAAAACAGAAGCCCAGAACTAGAAAATTAGGAGGTTTTCATATGGAACAGAAAATGCCCATGAATGGCATCTACTAAACATACATATCATTTAGCATTTTCGTGTCGGTGATGGATTCATGCGGTGATACATTCATGAAAGATTCATGCCGATGTTCCATGGAACAATCTGATCTTTTACGTTTTTCGATATAGACAAAGCGATAAGGCCCTGCAGCCGCTCTTTGAGTGGCTCAGATTTTCACTGGGCCCAATCGATTCCGGGCCTTCGATCAATTGGACGTTCATGATCTAAAACACTTAATTCAACATAATGACACGTGTTAAGAGCCATGTAGGATATTGCCACATCAGCAAAATACATTTGACCAGAATTCCCAATAATTCCATCCATTTTTTAGTTGTTGCTGTAGATTCATTAAATTAGTTCTGAAGAGCTAGTGATAAGGGGGGTACATGTGGGGTACATAGGAAAATTCTGGGTCCTATGTTTATATGCCTTTTTCAGGCAATTGGGGCTGGTCGACCTGGGCCCTGATTCCGGGCCCATGATCCTCAGGAGGAGCCTTGGCCGTACACATGGAAAAAAAGACAAATGTTAGGTGGGTACTTAAGGCAAATTAGGGTGAACTATAACTTAAAGCATGAAAACTAAACCCAAGACTGGAGAAGTCTTAAATTCTCACCAACTAGCAAAGGTGATAAAATGAGTTTTATGATAGTTGCTTCTACTTACCCCTTGGATGATC